GTATTAGAGGAAGAATCTTACTGTGTGGGTAGGGGTTCTCCATCTGTTCATTCCATTTTTCTAAAACTTTACTGGGTGCTAATTCCTAGGTGGGAATTCTGCTGAGGATGGATAGATACACAATGCCCAGTCCCAATACTTAAGTAACTCAATCTGCCACAGCTGTCAGAACTTTTAATAAATGCATGTTGCAAGGTTGTGATTCAATCACAATTTCACACACACTCTAATGGGGGCGGAGTTGTCAATCTTTCCTAGTAAAGAAGACAGTGAAAGAGGGGTCCATGCACTGGGACTTGGCATTTGCTGGACATGCCTGTCCAACAGAAAGACATGTGCAAAGTCAGGGAGTCAGCAAACAGTTAGCAGGGAGCCCTTGACCCTGGCAGGGGAGTTGCTGAGGTCCTAGCTACACACAGGCAGAGCTGGAGGCCAACTCCCGGGCTCCTGCCTATGCTGGTGTGGAAAGAAATGAGTTTTCCCTGGATAGACTCTTGTAGGACATACACACCAAGGGTTCTTTATATCTCTTATATCTGCCAGTTAACAGATGTATTAATACATGCCCTCCCCACATACCTGGGTACAAGATCTCAGGCTCATGGTTGTGTTTTAAGGCCATGTACCATAACCTTTACTTGGGAATTCCAAAAAGTCGATCTTGACCTATTGGGCTGTCTTAATGCACTTCTTGGTTAATCTCCAAGTTAGTTTGACTTATGACAATCACCTGCGTGGAGTGAGAGTAGTCTGCTGTACTCCGCCCACCCCCCAAGCTTTAGGAGAAACCAGACTTAGTGAGATTCTCTTTGGGACCCTTGCCTCAAAACAGCCTCAGGAACTTGACTCATGGACTTTCCATTTACCAGTGGGAAATGTACACTCACCCAATAAATGGTGGAGGTGGGATTTAAACTCAAACTGTTGGACGTCTCAAACCTGCTCAACCTCTGCTCTGTAGAGGCAGTCTTTGGGAAGCCGGGGTTAGGACTCAGAAAGAAAGTAGGAAGAGCCAAAAAGGAATATTTTGTCTCAGATTGGTTTCTTCTTTGAGCCCCTTGCTTATTGCTTGCCATCTTGCTGAACTTGGCCACATTGCCTGAACCCAAGGGAGAAGTGGGCGTTTCGTGGTTCTTCTACTTCTCCAATGATGTTGGCACTAAGTTCACAATCAAGACGGGGAACTGGTAGCCTGTACATAAAATTGCATTTTCTCTTTCGTTGGTCCCTTTCTCTTTCTCACACATGGCCAAGCAGAGTATTGGCATCCTCTGTGTTGCATGGCACATGCCATTTTAGGTGACCGACAATGACCCGTTGGAAAATGGAGGGACTGATTTTTATTGTTGCCCACAATTCGTGAGACAGCTGTGTGGCTAAGCACTGAGTTTCTACCAGTCAGCCTTGTTAGATCTTCTGCCAGAGATTTCTTATTCGGATGAACAGAGATTTTCCTTAGCTGCATTTCAGCCATTCCCTGAACTTCCATCCTCTGTATCATGCAAATTTCTTCTACAAAATCGCCTAACTTATCCTAGGAACTATATCCCAGGCAGCAGAGTGGATGTAAGAGGTATTCACAAACAAAGGAGCTTTATTATCAGGAAAACCACGTGAAGGTGGGGAAAGTGGGCAAACTCCAAAAAGGTTGAAAGAGGGCATTTCCTCAGGCAGAATTTCCTCTAGCCAATACTGACTTCTTTCTCTAACTCTTGTGAACCCTTGTGGTTTTCAAACTAAGGTGGAAAATCACTTTTTAAGTGGAATTATTATTTGGAAAAAAGCATGGATTGAAGTTAGGTAGACTTGAATGTGAATTTTCGCTTTATCATTTCCTTGCCCTCTGATCTTTATTGAGTAAGCTTAACTTTTTGGAAATTCAGATTCTCTATTTGTGAATATCTTAAGGGTCAAGTGAGATAACAATGAATAATAATGACATGCACTGAACAGCTAGCTACTATGTGTTGCCAAAAGTCATTTATCTAGGCCCCATAGAACTTAGGGTGCTGCTCATAGACAGTTCTCGAAACTCATTTTAGTTTGAGTACTTTCTTTTAATCCAGTGACCTCAGAGTAGCCTGGATTTCCCTTGGTTTTTGCCTTTCACGGTCCATATTCTAGCAGAAGTGCCAGAGACCAAGCGTCAGGTTATCAGAAAACGGATGTGGAGCTCCTGATCCGGTCGCTGGGCCTCTGAATAATGAGCAAGACAAAAGAGACTTTATAAATTCCCATTCAGATTTTTAACTGTGTTGTAGACAGAGGCTGTTGCCAGGTAAATGAGTTGCAAACAGTTGAAGTAATAGGGAAAAGCACTTGATTTATAAACAGGCTGTTTTATAAAGTTCATTTTCTATGCAGTTCTTTATAATGCGAATGTCTCCTGCTCTAGAAATGATATTAAAGATGGCACATAGAGGCAGGAAAAGGGCATTTTATTGATCTTCCCTGTGTTCTGGGTACTTTCCTGGGCACTTTACACTCACTAATTTATTTAATCCTCACTTCTACTCTACCTGATAGCTATTATTGTTGTTGTCAACTTCAACTTCCAAGTAAGGAAACAGGCTCAGGGAGGTAATATAAGTTGCATGAAGAGGCAGCGTTGGCCACAGGGCTAATTCTCCAACAATGTGGTACAACGGGCTGTACTATAGCAGTGCCAGGCGTTCTCCTGGGCATGAGTTCTGGCAACGAGGCTGTGCAACAAAGCAAGGGGCTCAAAGAAGAAACCAATCTGAGACAAAATATCCCCTTTTGGCTCTTCCTCCCTTCTTTCTGAGTCCTAACCCCTGCTTCCCAAAGACTGCTTCTACAGAGCAGAGGTTGGGCAGGTTTGGGATGTCTTACAGTATGAGTTTAAATCCCACCTCCATTATTTATTGGCTGAGTGTACATTTCCCACTGGTAAATGGTAAGTTACCTTTATCAGCTATGCTTGCAGTTTCAAAGTAGAGATAACAATATGAGCAACTTCATTCATTCATTGAACTTTATATATTGAGTAATACCATGGCTGGATGCTGTCCTTAGGGCTAAGAGATGGGGTAGCTACCAAAACAAAGCCCCTGCACAGCAGCAGCTCATACTTGTACTGCAGAGAAAACCACACACACACACACATACACAAAAGGTTAGTAGTGTGGATTAAGTTGGAAAACAGACATAGTTAGACTAGTGCTTGGCAAATTGCAAACAATAAATGTTAATTATGACTCTTTTCCCATCTGTGTAGCAATTTGAAGTCAAATAAACCCATGTATCCAGTCTCCCAAACTAGGCTTCTTTCCCCAGCTGATTCCTCTACTTGCAAGTCCACTGAGTTTTCTAAAAGCTCCACCAGCTTCCAGAGCATCGAGATGTACGCTGTGCTCTCAGATGTGGAGGGAGGTGGCCTGTTTTTTGCTCACGTGGTTGTCTTCTGCTGGGGGCTTCTGAGCCCTTTGAGGGTAGGGACCGATCCCTCCTTCAGCTGTGTATTCTGAGGGCCTGCACATAGCTAAGCGCTCAATACATCTTTGTTTTTGAAAGGAGAAAAGGAGAGTAGTTGGTATGTGATTCATGCATTGCGTGTGGGTGGTTTTATATCTACCCTGTTTTACTGGGAGAAGGATTAGCTTTTGGTGTGGTGATTGGGAGGAAGCCAAAGATAGAGAGAAACAAAAATTCATTTGTCCGAGTTTCTTTTCTGAAGGAGAGGACGGCATCAATCTTCCATGGCTCCTTAATTGTTCTAGCTGGGACCGAAGGCTCATTCCTGAGGCCTGCCAGTGACAACAACTTAATGTTGTCATAAGCAGAACAACTTAATGGGAAGGAGAGAGGTTTGCAGCGTCTCCGCCAGGGCCCGGCGGTGGGGACTATTGAGTTGGGAGCGCCAATTCCCCATCTGTCCCCCTCACTCCCATCTGACAGGCAGCTGGGAAGCATCTTGTCCTAAAATCTGGCACACACCAACAATTCTCTAGAAAAAGATTGCACTTAAGACTTTGGGGGTAAATCGGGCCCTATGCAGAGGATGGGACCATGGTATGCGTCCTCCTTTAAATATGACACTCTGTGTAACCTTCCCAATTTACTGCTATAGGAGGCCCCCTTTTCCCCTTGGGGGTTGGCAAGGATTCTAACTGCCTTAAATGGGGCCAGTTCCAAAGTGTTTTCTGGATAAGCAAGAGAAACACTCAGCCCAAGACAAACAAAAGTTCATGCCGATGACTTATGCTCTGCTGAACTGCTCTATTTTTAATAATTGTTTTAATAACAAGCTAGTGGGTGCCTGTCATTGTAAAGCGATCCTCAAGAACAATCCACATGTGTGTGATGGTTGCTTATACATAAACTCATCTATCTATCTATCTATCTATCTATCTATCTATCTATCTATCATCTGTATACCGATTTGGCAAAATCTGAATCTTTTATTTTTTATTTTATATTTTATCTGGCAACACCTCATTCTTGTAAAGTAGAACGAGTATTCTCATTACCTTTATCTTTTATAGGGATGTTTGCATAGAGTAGAACTAGGACCATTCCTTTTGACTATTTTTTTAAAAATTACTGTCTTTAACTTGGTTCTAATATTGTGGTTTCTATTTATAAAAATGGACTTTTAAACGAGGAGAGAGACACAGATATATATATAGAGAGAGAGAAGTTGAATGTATTTTACATTAAATGCAAACCCTTTTGTCAAAAAACATCACACTGTGTTTTATAGCAAGATTATTAAATCTTCCCAAATCTATCCCTGAGAATTAATTTTCATTTGGTTTGTTTAGGCTCACTTATTGAATTGGAATTCAGTCCCCGTTGGAGGCAATTAATTTGGAGAGTGACCACAGGCCACCCACCCTCTCCTAGAACACCCACACACATATGCTAAGTAGCATACGAGCAAGTGGCCACTGGGTTTCTCGTTCTCTTCCTTTTTCCTTTCCTCTTTGAGACGTTTCCCCCCTGCTCTCCTGTTAAATAAATGATCTGTCTCTTTGCAGGACAGTGACAACCTCTGGTGGGACGCGTTTGCCACTGAATTTTTTGAGGATGACGCCACATTAACCCTTTCATTTTGTTTGGAAGATGGACCAAAGCGATACAGTAAGAGAGAAGTTTATTTTTCTAATATTCCCTCTTTTTGCGCCTGTAAGGAAACCACAGGGGTCTTCAGAGAATAGCGCAGAGCTGACAGCCTGACAGTAATACCTCCACTCCTGACAATGTTCTTGCTTCTCATCAAGGCATTGTCACCGGGTGGCAGCCCGAGTCGGCTCTGAGAGATTTCCTTCGAGGCTTAGAGTGTTTGGGCACTTGCCTGTGTAGAGAGCGAGGCAAATATGAACCAAGTCACCCAGTGATAAGTGGAAGCCGAATGATGGAAAGTTTCCATGCATCTCTTCTCTGCCACCCTCTTTTATCCTTGACGGCTCACACTTGACACCCAATGTTCCGCTTCTGAAGGTTCTTTAAAAAAAAAAAAAATCCGTCACTGTATCAGCCACATCCGTCTAATTCCCTCTTATCAATTATCTCAGGTATTTATTTGACAAGTGCTAGCTTCTCTTGGGGACGGGGGGAGGCCACAGCACCGTTGTACATAGAGTTTGGGATTAGTGTTGACAGAATTATAGTTCCTTGTCTTGCTGGCGAGTGATAACTCTGTAAAGATCCTCAAATTACAGCCCGTGGCACCTTGGGTAACAGCTGATCTGTCCTGATTAGGTTCAGCCAACTTGTCAGAAATCAGATTTGCTAGTTGTGCTACCAGACCACGAGGCATAGATACATCAGCACAAAAGCAATTAATGTCCGCTTAGATCAGAGAGAGATGTGTTTTCAGAAATCGGCGTTGCACATATAAAAGGATCCATCAGAGGGGAAAACATCCCCACTGTCACAAACACTGAGATGATGACGGAATCAGCCGCAGCGTGAATGAGTCAATTCAGAGCCTCTGGCAAGCGATAGGTAGTAGGGTTCTTGATAAACATAATTAAAAGCTCTGATTGTTGCTAAATCTATTTCAAAGTCACTAGGGAACAATACATTTTTTTTTAATTTTGGGGGGCTTTAGACAACTTAGTACCATTTGGATCTATTGCATAATTAGTTGATTAATTATGCTAATATATGCATATGGTGATTTTTGCAATAGTAGCAAATAGGGGAGAAGGTGAACTTGCTGCCCAAGTGAAACTCGTTGCCAGAAGCATCTCTTTAGATTTGCATATTGTGGGTTTTTAAGGGTGTGGGTAACTTCTAATCAATATTTTGGGTGGGGGGGCAGATAGTGCCTTCACATCCAACAGAATGCCTCCTGTTGCAAGCACTGGGAAGCCCACCTCACGGGGGCCTGCTGGGTTAATTTGCTTCCCCATGTGGGTGTCCACGAGCAGCCTCCTGCTCTAGGGAGGTGTTTCCGAAGTCCCCGGGAGATAAATGAACTCGGCAGTCCAACAATTACTCCCTCCCCAAAAGGCTGCCTGATCAATGGTGAATAATTTCTCACCAAGCCGTCATCCATCCTCTGAACTGCCTTATTTTTTTCCGAGGCATGAGCTCTGATAACTCTAAGTTATCATTGTTTTATGTTCCTGTCCTTTGCTGGTTAGGGAATCCATCAGGGTCTGCTCCAGGAGCCAGGATTACAGTTTTGAAGTGTGCACTAATAAACCAGATCCTTGCTCTTCCCCTCCGTCCATCCCCCACCCCGACATTGTTGGGGGCTGAGCGTGATCAGCTCCTGTTAAGATCTCATCTCCTTGTACCGGAGTAAATGCCTGACTATGAGCCATTGCCGCTCAGGTTTCTTTGTTTCTCCGAGCCAAAATATTTCCCGAGTGGAGAAGAGAAACAAAGATGATTGACGGCCTGGAGCCGAGACTTGTCAGCTGCCTTGCTGACAGCGTGGTGATGTGCACACGCCGCTGATGTGGGGCCCGGTGACAGCTGATTGACAGCCCAAGACTGGGAGACAGGGAAGGCGACGCTTGCTTAGGACGCAGTGTTTATGCAGCGCTCCGAGCTCGGGCGCTGCCACCTTAACCCGTTCTCGGCGCGGGCGTGCTGTGCCAGGCTGGGCAGCGCCTGGCTGTCCCCAGGCTGGAAGCTCCAGCTCTCCCTCTTGCCTTCCAGAAAGCTGCAAGCTTTGTATTTCTGAGGAGGAAAATAAGACTTGGCTATGGCATTTGTATTTGTAAAAAACATTCCCCAATTACACACACACTGAGTAATAGGAAATAATCTAGATGAAAGTTTTTTAGCTTTACTAGAAAAATTTTTTCCTTTTCCCTCTCCATCTCTTGTCTTTAGAGGGTCCTTCTGGCTCTAGGATATCCTGTCTCTAGGTGGCCATAAATCCTGTGATTGGTGTTTGCTTATTTCTTTGTTGCCTGCCGTCCCTTATTAGAATGTTATTTCCATGTGGACGGAGGCTTTGTTTTGTTAATTGCTGAATTCTCTGATTAATACAAGAACTCACCCATAATAGGTGCTCCATAGATATTTGTTGAATGATGGGATAAATGAGTGAGTAAATAAATAGATGTTTGGGGAAAAGCTTATGTCACCAAGCGGAATGTTCGCAAAACAATCCTTTACCAAGATCTTTGGACTTTTTAAAACTGGAAGAACCTGACCCACAGTGCCCTGATGACGTTTTCAAATAAACCCTAGGATATCATCCGATCTTCTTCAATAGGGACCAAAGTCCCAGCAATATAATAATTCAGGAAATAATGATGCTCTAGGCGATCCATTGCTCTTTCCTTTCAGAAAGCAGAGAGCTCCTCTCCACTGATACTGTTATTCCACCCACCCCAAGCCCCCAAGCCCTTCACTCCCTGATCGGGGAGGGATCCCCCAGGTGGGATATGATTGGGCATGTGGAGGTCACTGATGTTTTCTTATGGGACAGGTGTGATTGGTGTGGAGAGGTACAGGGTGGACCTGGTTACTGGACTCTTACCAGGTCTATCCTACATTAGGATTTTAGCCCGATTGGACATTGGGCTGTGTGTCCCTAAGGCCACTTGCCTGCCCCTGCCTTGGAGAGCACCAGAAAGGTGTTCTTCTGGCAGCTGGAGAAGTTAGTAATTCCAAGAAGGAAGCTTTGCCCTTGGATAAGGTGGACTCTCAGGAGGAAAGGAGGGTCTGGGTGGGCAACTCCCTGTCAGCAGGTCAATAGAATAAAGACCACTAGAGCCAAAAAGGGTCTTTTCTGAAAATGGAAACTTGGTCCAGAGAGGTTAGTTGAATGCCCAGCTGGTGAGTCACAGGGCCTTGTGTCTGCGGACTCCAAAGTCAGTCCACCCACCCATTATCTTACACACACACACACAAACACACACACACACCCACACACACACACACACACATTCTATCCCTGCATCGTGCCATAGCCAAGAGAAAAGAAATGATTTCATCAACACAAACATTTCTGATAACAGAAGTAAGGGTCTCACATGATTGTTGTGTCTTTATTCAAAACGGTCAGGGATTATGGCCTCAAAGCCGTCTGCATATCTGGTTTGCAATTCTAAGTCCAGCACGGTGTGTTACTATTTCCTTCCCCCATCTAGTATGGTAGTGAACATTCTTAGGTTAATCACTCACTGTTAGTTTTAAGCAAAATATGAATTTCCCTTAACTCCTTTTAGATGTGTGGCATATCTGTAATCCAAACAACACAATTCTCTTTCCTCATGATGGTCATGAGCACTATTTGGGTAACTTGGTACTGGTGGCATCTCAGCAGACCCAGCCCATGCCCAGGTTCATGGCTGCATTCCTGGGAAATATGTGGTTCACAACTCTTTCAGGAGACATTTCCTTGCTGGGAGAGGAACATGGAGAAAAATCTCCCAAGGCCCATGCCAGGCAGGCATTGGGGGTACTGAGAGGCTGCAGGGTGTAGGAGAAAGGGCCAGAGGGTTCAATGCAAACATTCTTGGGCTTAAATCCATGATTTGCTTGATAAACAAAGCTTCCAGCTTCTTGTGTGCAATAGGTATATAATACTATGATCAATGGCTTGTGAAAATTAAATGAGAGGGCATATCAAAGAGCCTAGCACCATCTGAAGCACATAGTCTCCAGTATTTATAATCATTGATAAACAATGCACGGTCCTGGACTCACCTGGTCCTGTGCATTAGAGACGCTTCCCATTAAACAGGAAGACTCAAGAACACTTGGCTAAACTCTGTCTAGGTGGGTGGGCATTGCTTTGGAAGTTAGGTGGGGAAGTGATGTAGCCACTAAAATGTCATCTTGTTTCAGAGCACTTTCTGTTGGCCTGCCTCTTAGAGAAGGGGCCCTGGGTCTGACACCTGGGTTCAAAGCCAGCTCTGTCTTTTACTACTTGTGGGATTTGGAGTAAATCACTCTTAAAGCATCAGTGGCTTCATCTAAAAAGTGAGGGTTTAATGGGCTGATGTGTGTAAAGTTCTTAGCAGTGCTTCCTGCCCCTGGGAAATGTTCCATACATATTAACCATCATTCTTATTTGACTGGATTCCAATGAGCATATTGCTTCCTCTAGATTAAGAACGAGCACAATTCAGATAAAATTTTTGTGAACCACTGTTTGTGATTTGGGACTGGGGGGGGGTGTCCCAGTAATTTTCTGTCGTGCACTTGTTATTTCATCTTGAGCTCCATATTCTGCCTGAAATGAGGATTTCCAATAGGACCACACACCTTCATGGCCATTCTATGGCTGCTGTGCGGACATTCACTCTTTAAGAAAAGAAAAGTTGTTTTAAGAAATGTCATCACTTTTTGTGCCTTTATTTCCCTCAGTCACCAAGTCTCATTAGATAGTTTGAAGAACCACAAATTGGCCCCTCTGTGGAGCCATTTCTATGCTCCTGGTTTCTCTTTTACATTTTCTTCCCATATCTCCCCTTTTCTCTGAGAGCTCTGAAAGCTCTGCAATATTGACTAAGTTCTTCAATTTTGTCTTGTAATATGTGTTTTTATGTGCTGTGTATTTGGACATGTTCCCCCAAGGTAGAGAAATTCTACAAGGTCCAAGTAGCTTTGCTATCTCTAGTTGCTATTTTTCTGCTGCTTTTTATTGGTTCACCTCACCCAGTTGT